AATGCGATAGGCAGGGTAGCCTCTGGAGTGATGATTGTTAGGAGCACAAAGCTGTTTGTTGATGGAAGCGGTTTGAAGACGTTTTCCAGATGCGCAGCAAATACATTCGCCCTCTCTTCGTTGCTGCGAGCCCACTCTACTGTTGGTGTGTGTAATGGCGATTCGCTTTCGATTGGTGGACATATACCCGATTTAGCTTTCCACAGTGGATATCGTCTGCTGTTAGGGGAGAGATTCTGCAAATAGAATAATTGAGATCGATTACTTTCATCTTCTAGGGCTGTGCGTAGAAGATAGTTGTCTGTTTTGAGCCGCTCCTTCGAGGCAGGCGATCTGTGGGCTTGCCACTCCCTCCGAAGCCTTCTCTTATTGCGTAGCAGTTCGTTGATATGCCCAGAAGCTCGACTGTTGCTAAAATTAGAATTAAACTTACAAGCCGATATTGATGGCTTCCCAAACATGTACCAAAAAGAAGAGATTGATAGCTCAGTTGAAGCACTAGTGTCTGTTATGTCACTAGCTGCTCAACACTCTTCTTTTGGTACATGTTTGGGAAGCCATCAATATGGGTACTTACATACTTTCTGTATTTAAGCCAATCTGTTTTACTGGAAGTTAGGAGATGTGTTTGTTTAGAAAGCTAGCGATGGTCGTAGAGAAGAATTAAAATGGGCGAGTGATCCGATGAAAGATCTGATAAGTGTTCCACATGAACATGACCTCTAGGCACTCTTCTTGTGACGGCAAAATCCCTCAGGTCAGGCTTCTTGTTAGGATCTGTTGGCCAATATGTAGGCTTACCTGGAGAGATAAGGTCAAGCTTGTTTCTTGGTGTTGTTATGGCGTTGTACAGCTGTCTTCCTTTCGGATTGGTGAGTCGAGAGCGCCAATGGGGGTGTTTCGCATTGTAATCACCAGCCGCTATAAAACGGTCACCTAATAGGTTAAAGAACTGTACAAATTCATCTTCGGAAATGGAGAAGCGTGGTGGGCAGTATACAGCAGATAGGTTTAAGAAACCGCTTTGGGTATCGATGTGTATTGATGTAGCTTGTAAAAAGGTTGTTGCGAATGATGGGAACTCATAATGCCTGATGCGTTTCTTGATCAGTATGCCAGTGCCGCCATGAGCCTTGCCATCAGGATGGTTTGTTTTATAAAATGAGTAGCCATTTAGGTGAAAATAGTTTTTGTTAGTTAGGTGAGTCTCTGATATAAGCATGGCGTCAATGTCATACTGATCTAGGAATTGTAAGAGCTCATATTTGTGCTGAGAAATGCCATTCGCATTCCAGAAACATATTTTTAAGGTAACCATCTAAACCGATTTTTGTTTAATTAATAACTCCAAAAGGAGATTTTGAGAGCGCATAAGTTCCTGCAGCGTTTGCTGTATTGCTACCATTGTGTTGGTTATAGTTACAAACATTGCTTCTACGCCATTGGGCAATTGTGTATTTGCATTCGCAAGTTGGCCAGTAGTTTCTGGAGTCTGGTTCAATATTTGTTGCCGCACTGTATCAGCAGTGGTTTGCCGAACTGTCACCTTAGATACTGTGGCGTTCGCCGCGTTGTTGTTACTTAAAGCCTGTGCAAAAGAGACTCCCGGGATCGTGCTCGTTGATATAAATCAAGAACTGTTTCGGGTTACAGGATTTCGAGCTGCAGTTATGTGTTGGCCTAGTCGACTTTTTAACTCTTTATAGACAGGACAACCTCTGTAATTTGCAGTGTGGTTTCCCCCACAATTACTACATTTTATTGCAGAATGGTAATCCTTATTTATTGGGCAGGCCTCAGTTGAGTGTGCATCTCCGCAGGCAACGCAGACTGCACGTAGAGTGCAGTAAGTCTTCGTATGACCGTACTCCTGACAATTCATGCATTGCACGGGCCCATTCCGCTTGTGGGGCTCATCAACGGTGATCCTACGGTGAAGCAGATATTGAAGCTTGTAAATTGGGTGGACTTCATTATTTTTTAGTTTCAAAGTTTCCGGCTCCAACTCTACCTTGAACATTGGCTGCGGAACTTTGTTTTTATTAAATATGTTCATAGCCTGTTTGACATTAAAGCCCTTTTCTTTAAGTCCAGCTATTATCTCATAAATAGGGACTGTTGCTTCGATGCCTTTTATTACTACTTGTAGTCCTTTGCAACTTTTAAGTTGGTAGGTGTAGTAATTTATTTTTCCGTTGTCAAGGTGTTTGGCAACAGATCGATAGTCTTGTTCGTTGTTCACTTGTATTTTTGTTTCATTTATGTTTCCCCTTTTTAAGGATTTAACATAGAAGTTGTTTGCTCCTATTTGATCAGTTATTTTTTTTACCAATTCAGAACAATTTGCCTGACGTACAAAGATTGGTGGTGGCCTTAGTTGCTTGGTCTGAGGTTTTTGAGCGGTATCATCTTCTTTTGGGTCACTCAAGATAGAAAATCTATTTCTTGTTAGTGCATTGTTTGATACAGTGGCTTCAGCTTTCTTCGTGACTTTTGTTGCATTTGTTTTTTTAGCTGCTTGTGGGCTTAATTTTCTTTTAATTTGCACATAACGATCGATTCCGGTTTGAATTAACGACGATCCATTAACATTTTTGTTATTTTTGGGTTGGGTATTGGCTAGCTTGTCAGTAAGGGCTGACGAAACAGAAACTCCAGTTGATGTGGTTGTTGTAGTGGTTGTTGTCGCCGCTAGTGTCGATGTCACCGTCTTAAACGATGGCATTGTGCTGGTCGTTGTTGTTATCAGCAGATCGTTGGTAATGTTGTAGGGGTCGGGGGACGGGCATAGGCCACTCCACGGCTGTTTTTGTGATGTGCCGCTTGGACATAATAAGGCGGGAGAGAGCGAGCGTGCTCTCTCCGTACTCACTTTTAGTGTTGCAGTTGTTGTCGGTTCTAACTCTTCCGCTCTTATGGAGAAGTAAGCGTTGTTCCTAATTGACGAGAGCCGACGTTCGTCTTGTTGTTGTTGCCGAGCCTTGCTCATTATCGGTCTTCGTTACAGAGCTGGTGCTCTTAAACGTTGGCTTTGTTTATGATCAGCTGTATTATTGTTTATTTTCGTAATTTGAACACAACTTGAAATATTTCCATAGGCAACACGAGTACATGTACCCATGCGTTACCTTAGCGTCTTTTCGCGAAATGGAATTCGGATATTTACTATATATTTTTAATTACACGGCGGAGCGATATAAAACACGTCTGTTCTCATTGACAATGGCAAGAGAAGTGAAATAAGAAACAGAAACAGAAATAACTTTTAACTTTTTGTTTTTTTTTTTTGTGTTTAATAAAATGAAAAATTCGGTGAACGAGAGTCAGCCTCGAAATGGGCCAAGTGAAATTGAATTCTTTCGGGCCAAAGTGCAATCCTATTTTCGGCAAATCAACGCGATGAAGAATTATTTGGTGGTCAGCAATATCAACCAATTTGATGAGGCCGATATTCTTGCGCGACTAAAATGGATCGAGGCACAAAACTTTGCATTTGATTCTGCCCAGACATCGCTGGAAAGGCTGGACTTGGTGGAGCTGGAGCTGGACACACGTTTGGAATTTTCGGAGGTCGTCATGGATGTGGAGGCTAAGCTAAATCGACGCTTAGCGGCCCAACGCAAATTGCCATTTGCTGGTGCCACAGCTGGCCATTCTACATATCTGGACAAAATCGTTGTACCAAGGTCCACTTCTTATTCCAAGATCGATGATTCTCGTAACACCGCCCTCGTAGAACGGGACTTGCAGGAGCCACTGGCCAACAGCAAGGTCATGTTGCGTGCCTACTCCATGCCCAATGTCCCCGTTCCACCACCGATGCCTCCACAGGACAGTCAACCACCCACCAGCGGAGCCCTGGCAGCCATGAGGGCTCTTAGCGATTGCGAGGCGGATGACCAAGCCTACTACATGCAGGACGATGCGAACGACGAGCTGCGAATCATGTTGCAGCAGCGGGAGCGACACAAGGATCTCGATTGCGACTTTCATTGCTGGTCTGGCTCGTCTATAGTGTTGGCGTGGATTCGGCAACCTCCGAGGGAGTTTAACGTGGTTATATCCAACCGAATCGCCATAATTAAGGAGATGGCGAAAGGAATGTCTTGGCATCATGTTCCAACTAATCTCAATCATCGTTCCGCGACTCTAATTGGAACCGTTTGCTTTGATATTTATATATTTCTATTTCGATACATGTATCGTTTTGTTTTGAATTGCAGAGGCAAAGCTTTACCTTCAGATGTCCATCTTTCTGTTGAGGAGATCAACTCGGGGACCGTTCTTATTCTAAGGAGCATCCAGCAGGATCACTTAGCAAAGGTGTATGGCTTTCTTAGCCAGAGGAATTGGCTTTGGACGCGTTCAAGGAGTCATACCCGGCGAGGACGGCATCGTCAGAGTAGCTATAGTCTGGACAGCTACGGGCAGCCGCCTCCAAATCGTTCTGCTCATCGACTTCCATATAGTTGGAACCGTACCTCTTCCAACGGGAGGAGTATGTTCGGAGCAGACCGCCAGTACCTAATTTGATGCACATAGGTGTACGGGGTTAGGAGCCGCTCTTCAAGCCTCTCTTTGTTTATCTATGTTGTTATCTATAATTTTCAAAGCGACGGTATAAAGAAGCCGCGCTTTCGGCTTATCTCACTCACTAAAGCTATTACATCTCTCGTATACATTGTTCGCGAAAATATCGAAAACGAAAACATAAGAGTTGCAGCTCCCAATAAACTTATACTTTAATTAATAAACCTATTCGTGCGTTGATTAATTTTAAGGGTGGCATATTGGTTGTCTTCCCCATAAACAACGGTTTTTTCTTTTTTTTTGGTTATCTTTATTAAAATAAGATACAATTTTTTGCAGCAAGCGTATCGTCAACTATTATTAGTTTATATTGCTCACTTTAATCTTTTTTGCAGTGATAACAGTAAGGTTCCGAATACCTTCAATAACCGTTGAAACAAATTTAGACATAAGCAAAATATACATAGAGCCTAACCCACCTCCTCTGATTTCATCATGTTGCAGCACTGGCCAACACTAATCACTGGCTTTGGTGGCTTGAACAAAACAGGCAACGAGGCACCCGTCCAGGGGACTGACGGCACCGAGTAAGACTCGCAGAATCCGCGACACGCATTGGTCGTCAAGGTAAATTCCACACAATCAGGAATGGAAATCTTTCGAGTATTTCCGACTTTGTGGCAGCCTGGACGCAGCCAGCTGTCTTTACTTATGGAGTTACTTTCGCCGAATTGAAAACAGGTGTAAAAGAAGAGAAGCATAAAAAACTGGACCAACGTCATCTTGACAATTGTTATATTTTTCAAAGTAGGCTGTTTGGCTTTTATACTCGCGCAATATACTGACGCCTGCGCATTTTTTGGGAAAGATTCAAAGCACAGTTTTTTTTCATTAATTGAATGATGAAATATTCATAAGCGATGAAAAACAATAAATTAAGTTAGCTTCGGCGAGTCGAAATTTAAATATACTTCTCAGGGTAAATTCGATTCTTGCAACTTAATCTTTAGTACTTCTCAAGTTTTCAAAATTTTTTTTATTTTAACAAATTGCTAAATGGCAAGCAAGAATATGTGAATGCTTAACAACTTCGACCTGTTCCTTGAGAACCAGTGAGATGTTCAAAAAGGGGCTTAGCTGGGGCCACCAGGCGGGTCGCAGGTTGCGGATAGCGAACGGCCTTATTCATAAGGTTAGTTGTGATTAAGCGCAAGCAAATTAGCAACCCCGGACAAACAGCGGGTACACCGAAGTCGGTGTACTGATAAGACGCTTGTCTGACCGTCTTTAAATTGTAGCCTTACACACCCCTCTTCCCTCAAAACTACCTACCAACTTCCCTTCCCACAATCTCACTCCGGTGCCGGACTAAGGTCTCATCCGACCCGTGCCGATAGTCAGCCTGGCTGGGGGCCCGGATTAACAAATAGCCCAGTCTCTCACGGAGGGTTCAGGCAAGTGGCGACCGCCTGTCCTAACCGCGCCTTACCCGGGTATGGCGGATCTCTGCCCGAGCGGACCTTATATTCTCCGCAACTCGTGGGATCATGAAGAAGAGTAACACTAATAAATTACCGCAGGACATCCCTGCCTCGAGTGTCGCAAGACACTTTGAAAACCAACTCCTCGACGGGGAGCGACCACAGGTGGGACCATCCCCACCCAGGAGCGCAGCCACCACCCACAATGGTCAACTGTCCCAGTCCGGGAACGTGCGCGACCAGCAGGACCATCCCGGCTGGTTCGCCCACCCCCCGCGGCTGGACAGAGGACCAGGCCTGCCACGAAAGCGGATGTCCTTCCAGCCAAAGGACAACCTGGAGGCCTAGACGACCCCAACAGGAGAGGCCCGCTGGGGTCCAAAATAAAATGGTATTTCAGATAACTCCAGCAGGGCATGACACCTGACGAGGCACTGAGGAAGGCAAAGGAGCCACGACCAGCGGCCCAAAGTAGTGCACCTGCCAGCAAGCGGGGAAACAGCACCCTCACCCCTCCGACAGACACCCCAACAAGGTCGAAATCAGGGGGCGCAAAATAGGTTAAGGCACCTCCCTCCTGCCCAAGCCTGAGGAGCCTTGCACCTCAAAGGCGGCGGCCTTTGACGACGAGATGGAGGCCGACGTCACTTTGACGGATGGCAGTGAAGGGGAACACCCGCCCCCTTCACTGATGGCTGCACACAGCAGCACGAAGCTAGCCCAGGTGAACCTACACCGGGCCAAGGCGGCATCAGCCGTCCGGGTCAGGCTGTTCACCAACCAACATCTCGGGAGCAGGAGCCTTGGTACAATCAGGGCATTAAAGGCGTGTACACCAAGGAATCAAAGGTAATATGCGACCAACGGGGTGCACACCCAAGAGCATGCATATTAATAAGGAAAGATATAAATTATAATATCTTTTCAGAGTTTCTAAGCAGTGACTGTGTCGCGGTAGCGGTGAGCGGCACAGAAAAGTTACCAGTGATCGCCATAGCATCGGCGTATTTTGCTGGGGATACAGCATGCGCACCACCGGAAATCATCGGACTCGTGGAATGCTGCAGGAGGAAGAAGATGCCCCTAATCATAGGATGTGACGCCAATGCACATCACGTGATATGGGGAAGCACCGACGTCAACAACAGAGGTGAGCAGCTCATAGAATTCATTATGAATAGTAACCTAGAAATCGGTAATGTCGGGTCCACACCGACATTCATTACTAGAGTAAGAGAGGAGGTCCTAGACATAACTCTGATGAGCAGGTCTCTAGGACCACTTATAAAGAACTGGCATGTGTCGCCAGAAGAATCAATTTCGGATCACCGAATCGTTAGATTTGAACAAGACTTCAACACCGCTAGGGACGCCCCTAAAAGGAACCCTAAGAAAACAAACTGGGATTGGTTCAAGTCCTCTCTTGAGCTCAATCTCTCTAACGAACCGTCAGGTATACCCAGACATTCCTTAGAATTAGATCAGGCAGTGGATAACCTCTGCAAGAAGATAGCCAATGCTTTTGAAGACAGTTGCCCTCTGGGCAGACGGAAAGCAGAAAGAGTGGAACGCCAACCTGGAACGGCTCCGAATCTCCACCCGCCGGCTCTTCAACAGAGCAAAAACGAGCGAGGATAACAGGGGACAATACAAACAAAGCCTGACGCCTTACAACAAAGAGATCAGGAAGCCCAAACGGAAGAACTATAGAGACTTCTGTAAGGCAATCAGCACAGCCCATGAAGGGGCAAGATTGCACAAGGCTATGGCCAAAGTGGCACCAGAAAGTAACCTAGCCCTGAGAAAATGTGATAACTCCTACACTTCCGACGACAGGGATAAACTAGCTTTACTCTTTGAAACACACTTCCCTGGGAGCTCACCCCTGGCGGAAGATACGTCCAACCCAATGGAGGCATCGTCCACTCCGAGACACCTCAGACCAAGCGCAGAAGACCGGGCAATTGCCAAGTCTCTAGTCTCTCCGGAGAGACTTAAATGGGCTATTGGGACCTTCCAACCATTTAAGTCACCTGGTCTGGATGGTATCTCTCCATCATTCCTGCAGCAGGGACTGGACTTACTCCTAACCCGCTTAAGGAGATTGATGCTGAGCAGCCTAGCAATTGGACACATCCCAAATGCGTGGCGTAGAGCTAGTGTGGTCTTCATCCCCAAAGCAGGGAAGAAAGACAACACCAACCCAAAGTCCTTCAGACCTATCAGCTTAACTTCGTTTTGCCTTAAAACGTTGGAAAAGTTGGTAGACTATCATATTAGGAGCACAGTTCTTAAGGACTGTCCGCTGCAACCCACGCAGCACGCATACAGGGCAGGTCGTTCAACAGACACTGCATTGTACCAACTTTGTCACACTCTTGAAAGGGTAGTGGACAACAAAGAAGTTGCAATCTGCGCCTTTCTCGATATAGAGGGAGCCTTTGACAATACGTCGCATGATGCTGTCTTAGCGGCCCTCGCCAGAAGGAATATAGACGCGACAACAAGAAGGTGGATTGGAGCCTTGTTAAGCTTCAGGCAGGCAATGGCGACCATTGGCAACAGCACAATGACCGTTGCCACAAGCAGAGGATGTCCGCAAGGTGGAGTCTTGTCTCCTTTACTGTGGAGCCTACTAGTAGATGAACTACTAAAGAAACTCTCCGACAGAGGAATACAATTTCAGGGCTATGCCGATGACATAGTAATAGTAGCCAAAGGGAAATTTGAAGAAACGCTTTGCGATATTGTTCAACTCGGACTCAAGATAACGCTCGACTGGTGCAGGGAAGTTGGGCTTAACCTCAACCCCGCAAAAAAGTCATTGTTCCTTTTACAAAGAAGTACAAACTAAAGAAGATGTTAAGTAGCTCGGAGTTACCTTCGACAGAAGGCTAACGTTTGCAACCCATATGCAAAAGACAGTGGATAAGTGCCTCAGGGCTCTCTTCACCTGTCGGAAAATTGCAGGGAAATCTTGGCGGACCTCACCCCAAATTATCAGATGGTTATACCTTATAATTGTGAGGCCAATACTCACATATGGGTCAGTAGCCTGGGGTAAACGAGCTAGGCTCGTTACCGCACAGAAACAGCTCCAGAGGCTGCAAAGACTGGCATGTATATGTATGACAGGAGCAATGAGAACCTGCCCCACTGCGGCACTGGAAGTTCTCATAGAACTCACTCCGCTACACTGCGTAGTAGAGTTACAGCGGAAGGCCACCCTACTAAGAATCACTTCTTGTGGTAATGGCAGTGACCGCATACTCAGCTCTAGGGATGCGGCAAAACTACTAGTCGAACTTCCCCTGAGTTCATACCCCAGGGACGAAATGACAGTAGAATTCATCTTCGAAAAGAATTTCTCTGCTTATCTGAGCAACAAGAAAGAATGGACCATCATAAAGGAAGTACACTCCATGGCGAGTCACACTATAGCGTGGTATACGGACGGGTCTCTAATACACCAAGGCACTGGCCTTGGAGTAATAGGACCACGAATCAAACACCATGAATCTTTAGGCCAATACACCAGCATATTCCAAGCTGAAGTTTGCGCCATAGGACGGTGTGCAGAGCTCAATATGAAGCGCGGGTACACAAACAAGGACATTGCGATCCTCTCGGACAGTCGAGCGGCAATCACTGCACTCTGCAGTAATAGAATCACCTCGAAGCTGGTTCGAGAAGTAAGAACAAAGTTGAACCATCTGGGCAGCAACACCAGGCTGTCCTTAAGATGGATTCCAGGACATAAAGACATATCCGGGAATGAACTAGCCGACAGGCTAGCAAAACTAGGGGCGGAACGACCCCTTATAGGACCCGAGCCTTACTGTGGCATAGGCAGACACACTATCACAGATTACCTAAGAAAGGAAGAGGTACATATGAGGCAAGCCTGCTGGGAAGACACCACAGGCCAAAGACAAGCCAAAACGCTCATCGTCAATTATGACATGAAGAGGTTTAAGAGACTTATACTACTAGGGAAGAGTTCCCTTAGGATAGTTACCGGCTTACTAACCGGACACTGCAAACTAAGGAGACACCTATTTAAATGAGATTACAAACAGAAAAACATGCAGATTCTGTGATAGCGAGGATGAAACCTCCCTACACATAATAGCAGATTGCCCAGCACTAAGTAGCCTGACGAGCAGAACCCTCGGGTCCAGGTTCCTTACACTTGGGACCTCTGGAAGCATCGACCCGATAAAGCTCCTTAACCTTATCGAAGGAGCCGGGTTGATGGGTGAGGTTTAAGCTCAGAAAGGGGGGTACAATAGGTACAATTGGGTCGAGGTAACCTTTCCCCCCTCACTAATAATAATAATAATAATAACAACTTCGAAGTTAAGGCAACTTGTCTATAACTTTTCTCTAATTTTTCCGATTTTTTCTATAACAGACAGAAGGCCTTTCGATTTTAATAAACTTAAAATTATAATTATAAAATTATGAAAAATTATGCTTGTAAAAAACAACGATGTTATAGTTTTCCTTTAGATGAATTATATATGTTATAGTCGTCTTATCCGGGCAGTTTTGACTTATTTGATACCTGCAAAAACTACACAACTTTTGGAAATGTTCCGGCAAGAAAGCTTGAAAACTTGCTTGAAAACATACTTTTGACTAAAATTATTATACCCTTATTTTACGGGCTGTAGCGTAAAGTAGTAGAATAGACTTGTGATTTGTATACAGGGTGGGCCATCTCGAGCTTCGGTATGAAAATATTTCTGGTTTCAGCAGGACGGGGTCCCATGTCACACAGCAAACGAAACCATGGAGTTTTTGCAGCGAAACTCTTTGGATGAGTTGTGTCAAAAAGAGGCGATATCGACTGGCCGGCGCGTTCGCCGGACTTGACCCCGCCGGATTTCTTTTTGTGGTGTATACATAAGCAAGCCCTAGACCATCACAGAGCTCAAAGAGAGTATTCGCACCGAAATGGCCAATATATCGGCCGATATGCTCAATAAAGTAATGGAAAATGCTCGAAAAAGGACACTTTTTGCCATCAAGAACAAAGGAAGTCACTTAGTCGATATTGCGTCAAAAACTAACTCAAATGAATTGTAAAAGATCAATCTAAATAAACGTAAAACATTTTCCATGAATTTTTGTTTTTTTCCAAAGTTATTCAATATTTTCTACCGAAGCTCGAGATGGCGCACCCTGTACGTATACTCGTATTCTTGATCAGAATACGTGTCCGTCTGTCCGTCTGTCTGTTTCTGTGTAAACTATTCTTTCAGTTTTAAACCTATCCGATGTAGCGTACAAATGCTTTAATAGTCTCTTTATTAATTAGTTTAATTTCTTATTATACTCCAATTTGTTTTCACAGTTCATTTTCTCGTCTGCACTCTTCGCTTGCTTGACCGGAATTAATCCTTCCGCATTATCACTCTCGGCTCTCACACTTTCAAAGTTTCATTTCTAACCGTTAGAGTATACACACAATAGTATAAGACTTTACATACTTGTGATATTATAAAGTCATACAACATTTGGCTTATATATTATATATGTATATACATACATAAATACTCTGCCGCTCAACTGAAGAGGTTCAAGATCTCAGAGGTAGTAATTTGTCTATAATTCCTAAACCAGTGTACCGATTTCCATATTTTTTTTTTCTTTAATTCTTGAATCATACTATAATAAAATGCTGAAGAAGGTTTTTCAAAAACATATTATTTATTCCTTATTTATTTTTTCTTCTGAGAGGTTAACAAAATTCATCAGGATTGGCCGACTATGTCGGATAGCTCCCATACGAGAGAATGAAATAAAAAATTCTCACGCCATTGTTTTTGATCAGGTCGACTTGATTTCTTCCAGATGGCGATTCTAATTACTTTTGAATTTCGGATTAAATTTGATCAAAATCGGATAACCCTTGAATCGAAAAAAAAAATCATTAAAATCCTACAACGTTATCATATAGCTGCCATAAGAGTTGTTAGAAAACTCTATATTCCAAAAATCATACTTGTCTGATGAAAAACAAAGATGTTATAATTTTATTTCCGTTATTTCTATATAGATATTTCGATCTTTCATATTTTATTATAATACCCTTTGCTCTGCAAGGGTATAAAAATTGTCCTTAACCGAAAAAATGAAATTTTTGCAAAAGCATTTCTAAGATTTGGAAAATATGAGAATATTATAATACCCTTTGCTCTGCAAGGGTATTGTCGGGTCATCCAGCCGCAGCAGATATTTAGGTTTTATTAATGCTAGCTCTTAGCTTATCTGCATGATTACCATCTCTCTCTCTCTCTCTTTTTATCTTTCTATTCGCTCTCTCTCGTTGCTTGTTGGCTTCTACTTTGGGTCAGGAATTGGCTGATCCGCGTCTCAATTTAATTGTAATACTTCTTTTCGATCCCGCGGACCATTGTAACTTTTTTCGTCAAAAATAAAATCGCTGCCCTCGCAGAAATCAAAATCAAAATTTTCTTTGTACATAGTTAATTTCAACAGCTAAAAAAATATTAGCTCAACAGGTATAAAAATTGTCTTTAACCGAAAAAATTAAATTTTTGCACAAGCATTTCTAAGATTTGGAGAAGGTGTTTTTCCAATTGTCTAGGGAAAAATTTGAAACCCTACAAATTATAGAACGGTTATAACTTTCGTCGAGGAGCTCACATTAAAAATATTTCTTGAAATTCTTAAAATCTCAAAAAACAGAGCTGTGTCAATAAAAATCATTTTGACTCTGAAGTTGGAGATGAAGTCCACCAGGTGGTTCTACCTTTATGGTGGTATATATTTAAGTTAAAAACTTTGCCCTTTTTATACCCTTGCAGAGCAAAGGGTATTATAATTTCAGTCAGAAGTTTGCAACGCAGTGAAGGAGACACCTCAGACCCTATAAAGTATATATATTCTTGATCAGCATCACGATCTGAATCGAAATCCGTGTGTACGTCTGTCCGTCTGTCTGTTTCTATGTAAACTAGTCTCTCAGTTTTGAAGCTATCGCGCTGAAACTTTCCGGAAAGTTGTGTAGTTATTGCACGCAGTATATAAGTCGGAACGAGCCGGATCGGCCGACTATATCGGATAGCTCCCATACGAGAGAATGAAAATTAAAATTCTCACTCCGTTGTTTTTGATCAGATCGACTTTATTTCTTCCAGATGGCGTTTTCTAACTACTATTGAATTTCGGTTTAAATTTTATCAAAATCGGATAACTCTATCATATAGCTGTCATAGTAGAGATCAAAAAATATATATAGAATTAATGAAAATTAATTGATAACGTCATTGTTTTTCATCACATGACTATGATTTTTTAAGTATCAAGTTTTTTAACTAGCCTTGATTTATAAAAAAATTTTTATAAAAATCGGACAACTATATCATATAGCTGCCATAGGAAGGATCGAAAAATCTATATATAATTAACGGAAATAAAATGATAACATCGTTATTTCTCTTCAGAAAATCATGATTTTTGGAATATATAGTTTCGACTAACGACTTGAATAACAAATTAAATTTTATCAAAATCAGACGACTATATCATATAGCTGCCGAAGCTAGCTTCCTTTCTTGTTTTTTATTAATCTTGACACTCCTTCAGTATGGTGATGAATGGGTCTGTCCAGGAAATTTCAAATAGTCCCAATGCTACTTTAATTCCAAACTGCAAGGATCGAAAATTTAAAATTTTCGGTGTTCCCGTTTGCATACTAAGGCAAATCATTAAAACAAAACTTGTACGAGTATATGTGCTTTTTTTTTTTGGTTATCTTTATTAAAATAAGATAAAAATTTTTGCAGCAAGCGTATCGTCAACTGTTATTAGTTTATATTGCTCGCTTTAATCTTTTTTGCAGTGATAACAGCTGCATGACACAGCACTTTTAAAAGTAAGGTTCCGAATACCTTCAATACATAAGACGCGACGTTGTATCTGTAACCGTTGAAACAAATTTAGACATAAGCAAAATATACATAGAGCCTAACCCACCTCCTCTGATTTCATCATGTTGCAGCACTGGCCAACACTAATCACTGGCTTTGGTGGCTTGAACAAAACAGGCAACGAGGCACCCGTCCAGGGGACTGACGGCACCGAGTAAGACTCGCAGAATCCGCGACACGCATTGGTCGTCAAGGTAAATTCCACACAATCAGGAATGGAAATCTTTCGAGGATTTCCGACTTTGTGGCAGCCTGGACGCAGCCAGCTGTCTTTACTTATGGAGGTACTTTCGCCGAGTTGAAAACAGGTGTAAAAGAAGAGAAGCATAAAAAACTGGACCAGCGTCATCTTGACAATTGTTATATTTTTCAAAGTAGGCTGTTTGGCTTTTATACTCGCGCAATATACTGACGCCTGCGCATTTTTGGGAAAGATTCAAAGCACAGTTTTTTTCCATTAATTGAATGATGAAATATTCATAAGCGATGAAAAACAATAAATTAAGTTAGCTTCGGCGAGTCGAAATTTAAATATACTTCTCAGGGTAAATTCGATTCTTGCAACTTATCCTTTAGTACTTCTCAAGTTTTCTTTATATTTTTTTTATTTTAACAAATTGCTAAATGGCAAGTAAGAATATGCGAATGCTTAACAACTTCAAAGTTAAGGCAACTTTTCTATAACTTTTCTCTAATTTTTCCGATTCTTTCTATAACAGACAGAAGGCCTTTGAATTTAATAAACTTAAAATTATTATTATTATTATTATAAACTTAAAATTATAATTATAAAATTATGAAAAATTATGCTTGTAAAAAACAACGATGTTATAGTTTTCCTTTAGATGAATTATATATGTTATAGTCGTCTTATCCGGGCAGTTTTGACTTATTTGATACCTGCAAAAACTACACAACTTTTGGAAATGTTTCGGCAAGAAAGCTTGAAAACTGAGAAACTAGTTTCCGTAGATTTCTTTATCAACTTATATGTAAGTGGATGCTGATCAATAGTATATGTACTTTGTAAGATCTGAGGGTTCACCTTTATTGCGTTGCATACTTTTGACTAAAATTATTATACCCTTATTTTACGGGCTGTAGCGTAAAGTAGTAGAATAGACTTGTGATTTGTATACGTATACTCGTATTCAGTGGCGTATCTAGGGTTACTGGCGCCCGGGGCAAAGTGGAAAATTTGCGCCCCCTACCCCTCTGCCTTATGAACGTGACAGACTATTGTTTTTCAAATTAATAACATTTAAAATATTTTGAGTATTTGAAGGTTTATTAAGGGTAAAGTTTTAAAATTTAAAAAAAAAAATTTTTTAAGTTTTATTTTCTAAAAACCAATATGTTGAGAATATTGTGTAAAAATTTTTAGTCAGAGTCAAACTAACGGAGTTACAGCGTTTTAAACGACCGAATTTGGACGTATTTTAACGTATAAAAATACTTTGAATCGATTTTCCCGAAAACGTTATTTTGAAAGTCGGTGAACATCAGAACTCAAAATCTACCGAACCAATCCTTTTCAAATTTTTAACACAAAGGCTCCACATAAATATACAGGTAATCAGGAAGAGTTTTTTTTTTTTTTTTTTACTATTTTTAAAAAATAAATTAACTGCGATTTTTTGAGCTAAAATCTCACTTTTCACTTCCAAGTGCTATAATCATATAGATAGATCAAAAAAATATATATAATAATGGAAAAAAAAAATTATAACGTCGTTGTTTTTAATCCCACGAGCAAAATATGGATTTTTTAATGACCCTTGAATTGAGTAAAAAATTTCATTAAAATCTGACAACGTAGTTATATAGCTGCCATAGGAAAGATCGAAAAATCTATAAAGAAATTATGGAAACTAAATTATGACATCGTCGTTTTTCATCAGAATGGTTTTGGAATATAGAGTTTTCTATAAACTTTGGAAATACGAATTAAACAATAGTCGAAAATTTGGAAAATTTATAGAAAAATCGTCATAGCTTCGATGATGTTTAGCCTTTATGCATTTTTATCGACATATTTGATGACTGGGCATATAAGCTTCGGCTTGCCGAAGCTAGCTTCCTTCTTGTTATAATTATTTTGTTAGATGAACATGATTTTTCGAAACATACAGTGTAATTCAAATACGATTTTGCGCCCCTTAGATTTGGCGCCCGGGGCACTTGCCCGTTTCGCCCCCCCCTAGATCCACCACTGCTCGTATTCTTGATCAGAATTCGTGTCCGTCTGTCTGTTTCTGTGTAAACTATTCTTTCAGTTTTAAACCTATCCGATGTAGCGTACAAATGCTTTAATAGTCTCTTTATTAATTAGTTTAATTTCTTATTACACTCCAATTTGTTTTCACAGTTCATTTTCTCGTCTGCACTCTTCGCTTGCTTGACCGGAATTAATCCTACCGCATTATCACTCTCGGCTCTCACACTTTCAAAGTTTCATTTCTAACCGTTAGAGTATACACACAAAATAGTATAAGACTTTACATACTTGTGATATTATAAAGTCATACAACATTTGGCTTATATATTATATATATACATACATAAATACTCTGCCGCTCAACTGAATAGGTTCAAAATCTCAGAGGTAGTAATTTGTCTATAATTCCTAAACCAGTGTACCGATTTCCATATTTTTTTTTCTTTAATTCTTGAATCATACTATAATAAAATGCTGAAGAAGGTTTTTCAAAAACATATTATTTATTCCTTATTTATTTTTTTCTTCTGAGAGGTTAACAAAATTCATCAGGATTGGCCGACTATGTCAAATAGCTCCCATACGAGAGAATGAAATAAAAAATTCTCACGCCATTGTTTTTGATCAGGTCGACTTGATTTCTTCCAGATGGCGATTCTAATTACTTTTGAATTTCGGATTAAATTTGATCAAAATCGGATAACCCTTGAATCGAAAAAAAAAATCATTAAAATCCTACAACGTTATCATATAGCTGCCATAAGAGTTGTTAGAAAACTCTATATTCCAAAAATCATACTTGTCTGATGAAAAACAAAGATGTTATAATTTTATTTCCGTTATTTCTATATAGATATTTCGATCTTTCATATTTTATTATAATACCCTTTGCTCTGCAAGGGTATAAAAATTGTCCTTAACCGAAAAAATGAAATTTTTGCACAAGCATGGGTGTATGTGGCCGTTGCCCTAGGCCGACCATCCAACGAGGCAAAGTATGTTGAAAGAGAGACGCTGATATTTAGCTTGTCACTGCTTATAGCGGTCCAGCGACGTGACGTATATATGTACGGGTATGTGGCCGTTGCACTCGGCCGATCATACAGCGAAGCACAAAGTATAAAAGGAGACCGGTAACTTAAGAACGGCGTCTATGTACCACTTAGGTTTGGTATATGACTGACTCTTTTTGGGTGCGTGCTGGCACTGAACTTTTACATTTTTATGAACACACAAAGAACCACTTTTTGCCAATTTATGGGCAGATAACTGTTGAAAGTTAATTTCAAATGTAATCACGAAGTTATGATCAAATGGTTCCCCTCATGGGGGTTGAGGGTCTCCCGCTCTGGGGACTTTCATTCGACAAGAAAAAATAGATGCAACCGAAGTAATTTCAAGATTAATTTTATTTAACAAATTTCACTAGATATCAAAACAAACTAATTTAATTCCGAAGGTTAAGTTATATCAAAATTTTAAGGTTCTTCAAGGTATAAAAATCAAAGAGACACAGGCCGACCAGCACCGAACACCGCTTGCCCAAGAGTGGCTTGTCGCATTTTGGCATTCGTCTTTTGTGCTGCTGGGACGTATCGAGAGCGTATAAAACTGCGTTAGGCACACTCTTTGTCTCCTACGATCCAACCTTTAGACGTAAATTATGCGGGGGTAAGCCAGGCACGTCCAAAGAGTTTAAAAATTCAATTGGATAGTTGGTGGCTTCATCTTCATTTGTGACGCAGTCAATAGATTTGAATGAATGCATTGTTCCAATGATCTTATTTTGAATTATGTAGTTCAGGTCGTCAACATCTTTATTCTTAGCCGCTAAAATTGCTCTCTCACTCAACCATTCCTTATTTTTGTAGTTAGAAATAATGTTTGGAAATACATTGTTGATAAGTTCCTCTTTTGATGAGACAAAATTACAAAAATTATTTGGAAATGATATTAATCCGCTCGATTCATCGACAGGTACTTGACCATTGCCGATAGTCAGCAATTGCTTCGAGAAATCTTCAGCAGATGTATCATTAAGAAATGAAACATGGAAGAAAAACTTGATCGACGCCTATTATGTACCAAAATACAGAAACAAAAATTAATTATTAATGTAGGTTTTTGATTATTTTTGTAATTTTTTCCAAAAAGGCAGAACAAAGATCGCCGGGTTTGCTAGTTTAAAATATAGCTATTGGGGGGTCGTGAGACAACGTTCTCGGGGGGTTATGAGACATTCTATTACCGCGTCATCTAGGAACATAAATTGTATTTTATAGCCTCATATAGTGTTTTTGTACAAAACCAAAACGTTTAATGATAATTTTGATATTTTTGATGGATTCAGTGTTTTTGATGATCGTTTTTTCATCATCATGGTGCGTCATAAGTATAGTCAGACTGCCAAATCTGCGATTGATGTCAATGAGCAGCACCATTTTGACTTCAGAAGTTGATGTAGCCAATTTAGGCCGAAAATCTGACGAAAAGAAAGCAAAAGATTTACAAAATAAAGAGAACAAGAAAGACAAGGCAGCAAAAGCATTACCATCGAAGCGCGGACGCCCTAAAAAATCTTCGGCATTAATGGCGATTGAAAATATGTCCGACTCTGAAGATGAACGTGACTTTTGCATCATTTGCAAAGCTCTTATGCCTAAAAAATTGAACCGGAACAACTCGATTTACTGCAATAGTTGCGACAGACCTGTTCACTTGAAATGTGCCAATATGACAGCCGGATACTACACCTGCATTCATTGTGAATCGGATTGATCGAATATTTGACTTTTTGAATTAATCTGATTTTTATTTGCCTTTCTATTATCTCCTCGAAATCTTTTCAATTTGAATAAATTGTAGACCACAAAATATGCCTTATTAAAGATTAAAATAAACAATTTTGATAAAATTAAGCCATTTTCATTCTTATACATTTGTGTCTCACAACCCCCGAACATTGCGAAAATCCATAAAAAACAACTTTTGAGCAGGCAGGCAAAACATGAAGGTCGAACTAAAATTTCAACTAATAATACTCTTGTCTGAGTGAAATTACACTGAATCATGATTAAAAAATTTGTACGGGCAAAAAAATGGCTTTTCTATTATATTTTTTGTCAAAAAAC